CATGCTTGTTCAATAAAGAGGGGCTGGCCCTGTGCCGCGCCGTGATGTGATGATGGCCCTCCGCAGTAAGCAAGCCTATGCCTCTCAACTCGATTGCCTCACTCCGGGCTCGTCATTCTGGGCTGACAGCTGCCTCCTTCTGGCTGGTATTGCGCTTGCAACCCACACCTTGGACCTTGACCGTGGACGAAGAGGGGGGGGAGAAGACCCCTGACTTCAGCCTCGCCCGCTTTTGTCCCACTGGCTGGCTGTTCGTCTCCGTTGTTCTTGACCGACTGCACAAAGGAATACGGCGATCCCTGATTCAACCCTCCCACTTCTCTCCGGGCCGGCGAGGGGGGAGACGTCGCTCCGGAGTCTAGAACACGGGTCCAGCCCCCCCTAAAAGCTCGGTCAACCTCTGAGTTGGCAAGATAGGGAATAATCCTGCACACACAAGTCCGCAACCCATGCAGGCCTCCGCACGCACATGGTAGGTAGGTAATCGGGGATTCTAGCACGCGTCCATCCCCGGCATGGTCTCATTCTTTTGAGGGGTGGGATAGAAGACCTTCCTCTTTGCTCGCCCATCCTCTGAATCGGAATGGGGTCCTGGGGCACTGGGAATGCTTCCCCCGTCCCTGGCTTTGGCAAGGGACACACCTGTCTAGCTCGACGCTCCGTCGGTGAAGCGGCGGCTGGATCGTAGCCAAGCCCGCCTGGTACCAAATAGTCTAGGCAGCCTCATTCGCGATTGATACAGCACCGGTGGGGTGGGCACGTTTCTCGCGGTAGGGGTCAAGAGGAATTAGTTATTAAGCCCGAGATGCATGACTGGAGCTTCACCACCCCCCACTGCGAGTTGTCAACCCTAGCGAGGCACTATACGCAGAACCCGTTTATCCATTATTATATGTCTAGACCCTTGGGCGTGGGATGAGGTCCTGGTGCGCATATAGTATTATAGTAGCATATACCACGCGCTGGAGATATACGAGATACACAGCTTGGGAACTTGCCGCCGCTCTGTATGTCCTCGGAGCTGGAATCGATGCCTCCGGCATACACGGGCGACTCGACGGAATCATGATACGAACAGACTAGTCAGTCCGTATGCTGAGTGCTCAACTGACTATTCTCGCCACCAACTTCTCGAGGCACCGGGTAATCCCATTGCTCCTGAGCTGCGTCATGCTCACTCAAATCTCATCAGGTCCATTGATTTGTAATATACCATGCCAGTATCATGCGAGAAAGGTCTATGTTGACAACACCGTCTCGCGGGACATCGAACTGTGACATTTCCGGTGATACGACAACGCCAACACCAACAGTTCCCACATGATTCCCACATCCCATCCGCCTTCTGGCTCTGCATTTACGTTATGATTAGCAAATTCAGCGCTGGCTAACCTGAGACTACCATCTCAAGGACATCCCCAATTCTATCCCAGCGGGAGATAAAGCTTGTTTTTTTTTAGCACGGCCAAAAGAACCCAATCTTCATCGCCCGCCATGTCTTCGCAAGCCGCGGACGCCTCCAGGCGCGATTTCGGAACCGCAAGCCGATATCCCCAAACCTGTGCCCGCATACCTGGATCGGGTCGGCTCGCCTAGAGTCGTCGACAAAGATTTCTACGCGGCCGTGCAGCAGGCGCTCCGGGTCCTCGTAAAGGAGTTCACCCTGTCCATCCGCTCCGGCCGGGCGTGTGAGGCGCCCTGCGGCGCTCCATCGTGAGGATCAGCACCCCCTGAGAGACCGGCAAGTTAGTTGGTAGCCCTCAAGTTTCCGTAGTGAGGAGAAAGGGGGGAGAAGCGTAGGGACCAAGTAGAAAGAGACTCAAACCAGTGGAAATCCTAAAAATGGGCGACCTCAACAACATTTGGAACAGGCACAGCCCGCGCGAACGGTCCCGGGCCAGCTGCACGCCTCGCACCTGAGCACCTAGGACCGCCTCAGGTCCTGGCTGCCCTGCATGCGCCCGTCCGCCCTCCATCGTCCAGTAACTCGATGGCCTCGTGCAAGGTGGACGAAGTTGAGCACAGCGGGCCTCGTCCACGACCTGCTGGGGAAGAGTTGCGACTCCTACATCAGGGCCGTGCTCTCCGGACGGCGCCCAGCACGACATGCACTACCAGTCCAATCTAGTCCGCGCCGCCATGGTATGGGGCCTGCGCGAGACGGACGTCCACGATGTCATCAACATCGTCCAGTCGACGAGGAGGCAGGTAGTGTATGAACCCGTACCCTGCTAAGGAGGACCTTGAGTTCCTCGCCGAGCAGGATCCCCTCATGGCTCTGAGTATGTCCAACCTCCTCTTTCGTTTTCTCGTTATTTTTTTTTGTGATAGAACATCTCTCATCCATAAACTTCAAATTGAAACTTCTAATGTTCTGTCGGTAGGCTAACGGTCGTCCAGGCACTTGTCCCGGGGGCGATCTCTCCCTGGGGGGTTTCGGCAGCGACAGCGAGGAGATGATCAAGTCCTACCGGCCCCTCAAGGCCCAGGCTGATGAACTGAAGGACAAGGATCTCCTAGAGAAGGCCTAGGTAAACTAACGTCAAAGAAATAGGATAATTGAGTCAAAACCCTGGTCAGCGGGTTTGTAGTCACTCCAAACACATATCGCTACAGTCTACAGACTGCATTGCTTACCCAAACTACACCATTCTAGTTAGAGATTTCGTAACGTGACATCACTTCGAGTATCAAGTAAGGAGACGAATGACTGCCAAAATGAAAGGCTTTTAGACCCAGTGCTTCAATGCATCAGTGCCGTAGATACATGAACAGCACGCCATCTTCACAACTCCTCTAGTAGCCAAATCAAGTCCCTGTAAACAGCAATTTTGAGAATTTCTATACTAGTTGTAAAATTACTTCCAAAGCTTGCCGAGAGAGACCTCCTTGTCATCATGCTTGTTGAGTACCTTGGCAGTAGCCAGCTCAAAGTCCTCTTGCGTGACGTGCACTCTGCGCTCACGCAGGGCGTACATGCCAGCTTCTGTGCACACACCCTTCAGCTCGGCACCAGAGCACCCGTTCATCTTCTCGGCAATCTTCGTCAGGTTGATACCGCGGGTAAGGTTCATCTTGCGGCTGTGGATGCGGAGAATATCGGCTCTGGCCTCGACACTTGGTGGGGGGAACTCGATTTTCCTGTCGATTCGGCCGGGACGCAGCAGCGCGGGATCCAGAATGTCGAGACGATTGGTGGCCATGATGACCTTGATGTTCTTGGTGGGCTCGAAACCGTCCAGCTGGTTCAGCAGTTCCAGCATGGTTCGCTGGACTTCCGAGTCACCGCCCGATGAGCCCTCCACTCGGGAGGAACCAATGCTGTCGATCTCGTCCATGAAGATGATGGACGGGGCATGCTCACGGGCCATGACGAACAGCTCTCGCACCATACGACTTCCCTCTCCGATGTACTTTTGCACCAGCTCGGAACCCGACACCCTGATGAACTTGCAGTGCGTGTGGTGGGCGACAGCTCTGGCCAGCAGGGTCTTTCCGGTACCGGGGGGTCCGTACAGGAGGACACCCTTGGGTTGTGCGATACCCAGCGACTCGAACAGCTCTGGGTGCTTCAGGCCAAGCTCGATGACCTCCTTGATTTCCTTGATCTGCTGATCAAGACCACCAATCATATCGTACGTGCTGTCGGGCACCTTTTCTACCATCATCAGGGAGACGAGGGGGTCGACCGATGATGGGAGGAGCTTCTCAAGCTTGTAGGAATCAGAGAGGAGGGTCACTCGCTTCCCGGGGGTGAGCTTGGAGATGTCGACGCTGTCGGACACATCGACAACTGTTCATGAAATTAGCAAAACGGTCCAGTCAACAACGTAACTATCTCGGGGCGGCTCGATTGGAGGAGCGTACCGTATTTGCCCTCAGGGTGCACCTTTACCAGGACTTTCTTGGTGCTCATCACCTTGACAACCTCACCCACATAGGATCCCGGCTGCTGCAAGAGGCCCAGCTCCTCCCTCAATAAGCGGACGCGAGAGTTGTAGTCGTTACGCTGAGCTTCGAGACGACGCAGAGCAGCCTGGCCCTTGAGGATCTCAAGCTTCATCGACTCGATCTTGTTGTGGTAGTACTCGTCGAGCGCCATCTTGACGGCGGGTCTGCCGACGGCAGGGACAGGCAGGAACCGTGGGGTTGTTGGGGTGTGGTCGGGTTCGGGAATTGGCTGCTGCGGTAGCTCTGGATCGATGCTGCGTGATGCGGCTGGGGACGGCGAGTGCAGCGACTTGGGAGCGTGCTGCGGTGATGGAGGTGAAGCTGGGTTTGACGTTGACGGCGATGATGACCTATCTGGACTGGAAGGCTGCAGCTGGCTGACGACCCGCTGGCGAGTGCCTAACCAGGACAGCGGCCAGCCAGAGCTACCCGGAAAGCACATTTCGCCGGCTCCGGCCACCAGGCGCTAGAACCTACTATGACAGCTTATCGCACAATGATGCTCACGATAAGGAATCTTGGCGGTTACGATTATAGCATCTCATTTCTAGAGTTTCAAGAAGACAACTTGAATATAGGCCGACATTGCAGGTATGGCTTTGTTCTATTTCCTCAGCTACGTATGGAGAAAGAGTCAGCCGACTGAGGCAGATTCCGGGGCACCGTTTTGGCGGCCGCACCCTCAATTAGTCACGCCTGGGTCTGAGATAACCGATTTCGATGGTTTTACAAGTCATGAGGGAGGTGTGGATGCATGTCACCAGGTCAGTTGCCTCAAGTACGAGGGGTTAAGCCAACGCCGTCTCTGTCCATCACATGCTTTACTATAGTTTCAATATCCTCAATAGTCAAATCAATGTCTGAGCAGAACTTTATGCAAGAGGCGAGAGTTGCAATTTCCAGTTCGCAGGCAGATATCAAATCAAGCTTGCATTCATAAACGTGTACGTCTAACGTTACTACTGATATCCCAATATCCTAACCCCAAAGAAAAACCAGATCTGTACAATTCATGTATCGAAACTCCAAAACAGGCGCCTGCTCATATCTTAGTTGTGGCTGACAATGCTCAGCTTCCTCAGCGCCGCCTCGCTCTCAGGCGTGTGCCTAGCCTGAACGACCATCAAGCTGGTGTTAGCAACCTTGGTCTTCTTCATCTCGGTGACCACGGCCGCCGCGATTGGTCCCAGCACCTTGTGCGGGTCGTCGCTCCCGGCGCCCACAGGCTCCGAGACAGCTCCCTCGGCGCGTCCCAGGATCAGGATGGTATCCCGAGTCGTGTCGGCTCGGGAGGCGAGCAGGCCAGTGGCCAGCAGCCCGACGTTGCCACCGTGGGCCGTGGCCATGTCCACGAAGCGGACGCGGTCGGCCAGGTTCGCGTCCAAGCTATCCTTGATTGTTCCGAACCTCGCATAGCCGGGTGAGTCGCTTGATGACGCATCGACAATGGTGACCTTGACTGTGTCGTTTTGAGCGAGCTGGATACCAAGGCGGACAGCGTAGATGTCGTCCAGGCCACCGGCGTACAGAACATAGATGTGCTTCTTTGCGGTTGCGTCAGCTGAGTAGAACTTGACAGCGGTGGAATCTTCAGCCTCAGAGGCAGCAGTTATAGACAGGCCAGTCCTCGTTCTCTTCAGGCCAGCTGGGGCACCCTCGCTTTGGTGCAGCAGGTGGCTGTCGATGAAGGTAGCGACAGCAGACTGGGGCCGGGCGTCATCAAGAATCTTGCCAACCAGGGAGGAGAATTCACTATTTGCCAAGAGGTCACCGCGGGGAGCCGCGCTGAAGAAGGATTGCAGCTCAGAGGCGGTTCCGGTCTCGCTCCAGGGAAGGACAATCAGGTCGCTCTTGTTATTTGAAGCCTCGGATACTAGAGTCTCGGCGAAAGAATGCTGAGGGACGACAGCGAGCTGGCCCGAGACTACAACGTCCCGAGTGGTGCTGTTGGCGCAAGTACCAAACGCCCTAATGATGGGGTCGTTGCTGGCGTATTCCTCGATCTCGGTCACCTTCATCACTGATGAGTTTCTCTCGCTCAGCTCGACCAGGCGATGTCCGTGGATGCGCAGAAGATCCCGAGGTGAGCGGGAGCTCGTAGCGGGTTCCTTTTCGGGGTGGTCCTCGTTCGAAGAGAGCTGTGGAGATTGACCATCTCGCTGGCCGTTTGTGAACAGGCCGAGGACGGAGAGTAGGCTGGAGAGGCCATCCGTACGAAGCCAGACGAACATCCTCTGGGTAGCTTCCTTCTGATCCGAATCAGAGTCGTCTCCGTCGTGGTGGATGGGAGTGCCATCCCAGTTGATTCTGCCCTGCTTCCACAGCTGCAGCTTGCGCTGGTAGGCTGGGGGGTACAGGAAGCTAACAGCAGGAGCCGTAGCAAAGGTGGTGATGAGGGCCATGACGACAAACATGGTGAATGTTCGCGTGCTCAGGATGTTAGCCTCCAGTCCAATGTTGAGGACGATGAGCTCCACAAGACCCTTGCAGGACATGAGAGTCCCGATTGTGAATGATTCTCTCCAGACCAGACCGTTCATTCGTGCACCAATGGTCCCACCAGCAATCTTACTCAGGAAGGCAACGACGATGATGGCAATCACGTAGCCCCAGGTGACACCGTTGTCTAGGAGGGAAAGATTGGTGCTGAGGCCAGCGTTGGCGAAGAAGAGAGGGACGAGAAGCGCCGAGATAAGATCTTCAATCTTCTCAGTCAGCTTGATAGCAAAGCCACCCTCGTGAGGGCACATGAGCCCAACCATGAAAGCCCCGAAAATGGAGTGAACACCAATGACACTGGTAAAGAAGGCTGACGCGAGCACGATCAAGATGGTCAGGGCCACGATACCCTCAGAAGGTCCCTTCTCGAGACTCTGTGTCCGGCGCAGGGTCCACATGAAGGCCGGTCGAACGGCATAGGCCAGGAACAAGGCCCAGCCGACGGCAGCGAGAAGGACGTAGACGGAGGTGACTCCTGCGCCGGAGTTGACAAGAGTGACGCACAGGGCCAGAAGAACCCAGCCAACCACGTCGTTGGCGATGCCCGACGACAGAGTAATAACACCAACATTGGTGTTTAGCAGCTTCAGAGAGGTCAAGATACGGCAAAGCACGGGGAAGGCGGTGATGGCCATGGCAACACCGATGAACAGGGCATATACTCCAAAGGACACCTCTTTAATGCCAGGCTCGGAGCCGAACTCCTTGTATAAACCCCAGGCGACGGCCACGCCCAGCCCGAACGGAATGGTCATGTCGAGAGCAGCGACGCTAATGGCAATGCGCCAGTTGCTCAGGAGGTAGTTCAGGTTGATTTCAAGTCCTACCAGGAAGAGGAAGAGAACCAAACCAAGGTTGGCAGCGAGCTTGAAGGAGGGCATCGACTCCTTGGGGAAAATGGCAGCGGTGAAGCCGGGGATGCGGCCCATGATGGACGGGCCAAGAATCACGCCCTACAGTCAAGAGAAAATCATTAGCTTACAGCTGTTTGGTTGGATTGGAGAGGTGATGGAACAGTCAGTAATAATGCGGAGCGACCTACGGTGATAACTTCAGCAATAACTTTGGGCTCCCGTATCTTCGACAGCGGCCAGTACAGCGCTCTAGTCAGCGAGATAACGATGGTCGCCTGGATGATGAAGAGGATGATTGGGTCCGCGGAATTCCATTTACTCGGATTGAGCCCCTCGAAGATACCGGCCTGCGAAGTCACAGTGCCGTTGGTAGCTCTGGCGGTAAGCCAAGAGGCAGCGCCATCGACGGCATTGACCCAAGCCATGGCTGGTGGTACGGGGATCTAGAACAACTCGAGGCTCTTTGAAGAGTCTTTTGCACAAATAGGGACAAGCCAATTCACTGTCCCAAGGTCAACCTGATCAAGCAAGGCTGCAAGAATACCCAGAGAAAGATGGGGTCGAGCGGGAGGACAGGTCCATCTACTATTTAAATCCCCTCCTCCAAGCCCCGGCTTACACTATCAATACAGAGGAGCGGGACCCCCGTCGACCCAAGGATCAGAGTTTACAAGCCACGACCGGCCAAGAGAAGCTGGAGTCGGTGGAATCCATGCCAAGCGGAGGCCTCACCAATGGCAAGGCCGGGAGCTTCGTCATCCAGCCACGCAGACCGAAGTCCCATGATTAATTGAGCACATGCTTGCAAGAGGAAAAAGAAATTTCGCTTGTAGCTGTCTCGAGGAGGCCAGGCAGCCAGGGTCATCTAGGAGGGTGCTGCTACATGCAGGGTGCTGGCAGCATACCGAGATGGGTGGGGAAAGAGGCGACAGCAACACGTTAATCGATGCCAATTGAGTGGCAACAGGAACGCTGGCTGCTTATCTTGCTTTGTCGGGTTACACTCGGCCAACAGTTCGCAAGCTTAATTTTAACCCCCTGGCCGGATGAGTTCGGGGCCCCAAATCCATCCGCTCCCCCCGCCAAATAGCCATGTGAAGGGAGGCTTGGATGAATGCAGCACCGCCCTCGCTCAAGCCGCGAGTCGACCAACGCATCTACATGGCCAAGGCGGGGTTGAAGCATGTGATTGATGCCCTAGTGCACCTCTTATGAATAGTGTCCCGCCTCTCAGCCGCCAATAGTCGCAACAGGTCGTGATCTGACAAGGATGGGGCGCCAAGGTGCTGATTTGCTCACAGTTCTTATCCCAAGAGTCAGATGGAATAAGCCTTTGTGCAGTCCGGGAATCGGTCAGCTGACACCCGGCTCTGTTTCACTTGTTCGCCCAGATGGGCGATCATGCATACGACGAGAGGGCATTGAAACCCTGTGTGGCAGCTTGCTTGAACCATTTGATGCGGTGGTGCATAACGGGTCACGCAGCTCCGTCTCGCATCATTAAGCTTAAATCGTCGTCTCGATTTGGCTTCTGAAGCGCCCATCAAACGGGGCGCATCGCTCATCTGACGTACTCCGATCGATGGGACGGCCTGCTCCTATCCATGCACCATGCTAGGTCCCTAGATTGGAATCATGCTTAAAATGAAAGCTTACGATCATACTTGGAATCGGTAATGGTGGGGAAATCAATCATAATATCAATTCAATATACATCCTTAATGCCTATCTTATGCCAACCCAGATCATGCAGTAGATGCCGCCTTTGCGGCCTGGCGACCAGCCTCACGTCCATAAACAACACACTCCAGCAATGAAGAACCTCCCAGGCGGTTGTCGCCGTGGATTCCACCGGTGATCTCTCCTGCCGCCCACAGCCCGGGGATGGCCGTGAGCGCCTCGCCGTCGGTCCCCTTTTTCAGGACCTGGGCATCGGTGTTGATGGCAAACCCTCCCATGGTGAAGTGTACGACGGGCGTGATGACTCCCACGCAGACCTCCTCCTCGCGATTCTCCTCCCCGGCCTTCAGCCTCCAGTGCCCGTATGAGGGCCGGCCAAACTCGTCGGCAGCGCCCGAGGCGACGGCCGCGGAGTACTTGTCGACCGCCTTGATGATCTCCGGGCTCAGGTCCTTGACCTTCTTCTTCTCCACCAGGCCCTTGAAGATGTAGAAGCCGATGTGCATGGCCGTGGCCTCGCAGGCGCCGGGGTCGAGGAGGAGCGTCACCTTCCAGAGCTTGCCCTCCTCCGTCGAGTCGCTGGGCAGCTTCATGATGCCGTTGCTCACAACATCCCGCTTCTCGAGCTCGTTGATGAATCGCTCTCCGCTGCTGCTGAGGAGGATGCCGCCCTCGCCTCGCAGGACCTCGGCGGCGAGGAACTTGTTGGGCGCGTACGGCTCCTTGAGGTCCACGAATCCCGTGGGGTGAATCTGCACGCTCTCCATATCGATAGCCTCGGCCCCGACGGCGGAGAGGACGGGATGCGCTGCCGGGCGAGCGTCGTTTGTAGATGGGAATCCTTCCAGATCGGGCCTGTACTTTGCCAGCAGGCCCTTGGCGTCCCCTGCGAATCCTCCAGCGGCGAAGACGACAGACCCCTTGACTGTCTCCTCGGTATCCTCCTTCTTGACGGTGACTCCAGTCACCTTCCCGTCCGTCACGTCCAGGGCCGTCACCTCCGAGGAGGTGCTCAGCTCGAACTTGGGGTTCTCCTCTAACTTCTTGGTAAGAGTGCTGACAATGGCAAACCCGGGAGGTGATTTGCCCGCTCCACGATGCGTCCTGGCAAGGGAATGGCCGCCCAGAGGAGCCACCTTGCTCAGATCGACACCAAACTCATCGGCGAGCCACTCCACGGCGCTCGCGGACTCCTTGGTAAGCTTCTGGACGAGAGCCTCGCGGTCAAGACCCTTATGGCTCGTCTCCTTGAAGAGCTTCCCGGCGGACTTGACCGTGTCCCCGTAGAAGAGCTCGTCCTTGTCGATGCCCTTTGCCTTTTGGTACCTGGAGTTGGCGCCGTTGATGCCGGAGGACGCCTTGATGCTGTTGCCGCCGGTCTTGGCCCCGCGCTCAAACATCCGCACCGAGGCGCCGGCCTTGAGGGCCTCGTGGGCGGCGGACAGGCCGGCGAGGCCAGAGCCGACTACTATAACAGGCTGCGCGGACATGGTGGACGACGATGTCCAGAAGGATTTACTGAATGACGGAGAAAATGACACAGAGCGGCTGCTGAACAACAGACGGTTGCAGAGCATGCCAATGCCAATCGCGGATATGGCTCTGAGCAGGGTGAGGACCAGACGGGCGAGAGGTCTGGGAAGCATTTGCAGGATGGATCGGGGAAGGGGGTTTATTATCAATCAGCGGGAAGCGGATGCGGGTGGGAGGCGGGACCTATTCGATATATCTACCTTAGGCAATGGGATGCAGCGAATGGTGGAGTTTGAGGGGGATGAAGAGATTTATCATACGACCCCTGGCGGATCGTATGATGTTTGGAGTGGTCAGACGAGGGGGCTACGGGTTTACGAAAACTAAAGCAGATACGCGATGGCGGGACGGGAATTCGATGCTCTCGCGTTCACCGAAAATCCAGGGTACTTCAGAAAGATGGAGTTCCCGTCAGGAAGGGTCCTCGTAGGCGAGCGCTGCCTCCAGGTCGTGTCGACTGAGGTCCGTGTAGATCCCCCGCCTTAGCCGTTGAAGGGACGTGAGGCAGCTCAGCGCGTAAGGATTGAAAGGTATAGGGGTCGTTGGCTCGGCAGCCGAGGATGCAGTGCCCATCAACCCCGCCATTTCATCTGAACTTTGAATTCCATACCGCCACTTTGTTCAGCTGCTGGTGCTAACACTCAAATGGCGTGGTGTTGACCATGTGGGATGAGATGAGGCGGGCTTATCGATAGCGCATATCGATAACAGCCCGGTCAGTGTCAACATCATTTATAAGAAACCCCAACCTATAGCGATCAGTCGCCCATGATCGGCATTGGAGAAGAGAAGAGAAAAGAAAAGAGAGCGACAAGGAATGGCTGTATCTTTAATTCCCGGCTTATTCATCGAATAGGATCACATGGAGCCCAGTCATGTGAGTGCACATACGGCAGTCAAATGACGAGATCGATCATGGGGGGTGACAAAAGAGCAAGTCCGACACTCGCACAGCATAGTCAGCAGCAGACGTACTATGATATCTGCCAAGAGAGAAGAGCAATGCAAGAGTCATGGTGCGTATAGCTGAGAGATCCATGCCTACCTAGACATGAACGACATGAAGCAACCTAGGAGAGACAGTTCCAAGCTGTGCCGGCCCCGGGTCTTTTGACACCTGTGGGGTGCATGCAATCCCACAGCGAGAGAAACACGGCACAAAGATGGAACAAACCCTTGCGGACCCCATCATGCGATGATACCTTTTCTCGATACCTAGTCGAGCTCATGGTCAGGGTAACGCGGCAAGGCCAGATGTGTTATCGGCCACGGTGAGCGATGAGGGCACATGGGCGGGACAAGGGCATGGGTGATGATGGAGGGTGCGGATTGGTGCCCACTCGACCCTCAATTAGCGGCGGGCACTTTCTGAAGCTGCTGCACAACTCCAGGCGTAATCACGGTGTTCATCATGCAGAGAACCACTGACCTAGCGTCGAGCATCCCCGCTAGACACGGCCCCGGGGATCACGACACTCGCCCAGCAGCAGCACCTTGCCTGGGAGGATGGCCTGATTGGCCACGTGCTGCTATTAACAGGTAGCAACGATAAGAACATTGATCATTACCTACAACCTACGCAGGCGAAAAAGAAGAAGGCGCTGAAAGGGCGGAGTTGCCGGCATCAGCCAAGGACCGAGTACTTCAATCTCATTACGCTTTTGCGCACGGGTGCCAGTGGGAGCTAATCAGCAGTGCGTGGGCAGCCATTGGGTAGCAGTGTAGCACTTCATGTAGCTTGACGTACGTGCATGGGCGCTGACAATTTGACGAGGGCGCTTTCTGTCGCCGGTGGACTTTTTGTATCATCATCCTATCCATTATTATTCCTACATTCCTCCTCGCTGTCTCAACCTGCGCTTCCCTTCTCCCAGGCCACGCGCTCCCCGGATCTGACCTCAGACCCAGCGGCAGGTCTTTGTCCAGCACAGCAACTATTGTTCAGCTGCACCCTTCCTGCACGCTGTCTCGTTGTCAGCTCGCCATCTCCCTGGTGGCGTCGTTGTCTCGTTCTCTTTCGCTATCCGTGCTTGCAGGGAAGCGACGAGGCCCAATCCAATCCACACCCACCGCACCCCCCTGCCATTTCCTGCGTCAGCGCCACACGGCACGGGTCCTATCGCCTAATCAACAGCGACCGCGTCCTCCAACCTGAAGAGAAAGTCTTCTGCTATGTAAGCACCTGCAGTGACGAAGCAGCACGTTTATCAAC